CACGAAGATGATGGCTAGAAACTCTTTCTTAGCGAGATCTGTTTCCACTCTTGCTCTGTTGTGCACCATTCAGAGTCTCAGAAGCCTAGAGAAAAATAACACAAATATGTACACATCTTTAACATAGTCTAGTCTCTAGACATTGATTAAGATAACACAAATATGTGTTTCTGCAACACATCTTTAACATTGTCTAGTCTCTTGGCACTGGTTAAAATAATTCAAATATGACCACATCTTTAGTATTTTGAGTCTCCAGGTATTGGTTGTAAGTTAGCACAAATATGTACACATCTTTAGCATTGTCTAGTCTCCAGAAATTGGTTAAGATAAGACAAATGTGTACACATCTTTAGCATTGTCTAGTCTCCAGAAATTGGTTAATATAAGACAAATATGTACACACCTTTAGTATGTCTATTGTCCAGACCCTGGTTGCGACAAGAGATACATGCACACATCTTTGAGTCTGAGAAATTGGTACAGCCTCAGGATTTTCAAGCAACATTCTCCGTTTTGAAATAAAATTCACCCTGTGCAAACCAAAATCACTCTCTCGCAAATCAGGTCTTTCTACAACAAATATTTTCATGAGCTACTTAATTAAAGAGGCATCCAATTAAAGTTATTGTTATATTAGATGAGGAGATCATTACCTGTTTGGCTAACAGTAAGAGAGCAGGTGACGATACAGGTTATCTCGGAAACTTAAATCCTTTTGTCACATTAAACCACACGGTGGATTGTAAAGAACAGTAGCTGAGGGAACAGTACCGTGTAAGAGGGGCAGGGATCGACCAGCAGGAAGATTGGGGCATACGAGTCACACTCAGCAGCCAAGTGTACGCAGCGACGTTCTGTGAAGCACCTCCTTGGTGATGATGATGATGATTATTATGAGGATGATGATGATCATGATGAACGAACGAACGAACGAAAGAACGAACTTTATTTTTCAATATGATGATGATTATGATGATGATGATGATGATGATGGGGATGATGACGATGATGATGATGATGATGGTGATGATGATGATGGAGATGATGAGGGTGATGATGATGATGGTCTTATCAACCCGCCTGTACAGACCTCGCAAAACAGAAAACGATGAGCTTCTTCCCGAAACGCCGACGAGGTAAAGCTGTAGACGATCGGGTTGATGATCCGACTGTACAAGGGACCTTGTTCGGCCAGGTCATGAATCACTTGGCTCCGTGGCGTCGTGGCTGGTTGCATTCCCTGGCCAAAGACGTAAGACAACAACACGAGCATGAAGAAACAGCTGGTGACGAAATAGACAGCTGTGATAATAATGAAGGCCACAATGGAGTTCTTTATGGCCTCTCTTGTCGATGAACGCACTTTCGCTTCTGACGGGGGAACTGGAGATGAGGCGAACAGTCTGTCGTGAACACTGGTATGCTGTTGCAGTTTCCGGATTATTTTAAAATACAGAATAAAAAGTGTCAAAGAAGTTGCAAGGAAAAATATCAGTAAAAATGCGAAGTATACATAAAACAATGTTGTTTTCACTTGGTCAGTTCTAAGGAAACAGTGGGTGACCTTGACACCGTACCCGGGGACATATCTGGTGGTTTTGCCGAACAGCCAAAGGATGGGGATGTCTAACAGCCCACAGAAGATGAGGATTGCTACAAACAGTTTCTTTGCCAGCCCTGCATCCACTCCTGCCTTGTCCATCAAACAAAGTCTCTGGAACCTGTGTAATATACAAGAAGTATACACACGTATTTTACATTGTCAAGTCTTCAGATCTTGTTCGGTGCAGCACAAATATATACATATCTTTATGTACTAGAAGCAAAGCAGAAGGGGGTAACGTAATGGAGGAAAGGGAAGAGATAACTATAAAGGATAATATAGAAAACTACTCCTTGAAATCTCATCGACTCCGAACCAACAAGAGTTCTAAACAATGTAACGTGGAGAGTGGGAGCCAAAACTCAACCATAAGTTGCCTCAGTAACAACAACAAAAAGAGAGAAAAGGTTCGTTTAGGCGGGGGTAAAACCAAAGTACCTCACCCTGACAGGAAATCTTCTGTGTGGGGTCTACTATAGCCAAGCAACAAATAAACTAAACTAGGCACACTAACTACAAGTCCTAATTTGAACGAAAAACAACTGGAACTATGATTACTACATTGAACATCTGTTTATTTTACTCAACATAAAATCAGCGTGGTTCACGAATAACATTAACAACAAATAACGTACTCGACCAGAGTCTAAAACATGAATCATCTTCAGCTAACAACGAAATACGATAATGACACAGTACGCTCAGCAAGATTACCTCAACCATTGGCAAAAACCGAAGCATATTTAACATGTGCGTTAAGCTTCAATATGCCAACAAATCACTTATAGTGACCTGACATCAAACTATCTCCTAGCAAGAAAACACAATGGAAATCAATTCTAAAACCATATAACCAAAAGAAACGTACCGCTATCGCGAACACGAGCCAGTCTAGCGTCACTCAGCCGGTCCGATCTAACACACCTGTGCGTTAAGACCAAGTGCAGTCCACAACAGCAGACAGGGCGCCTGACCATACCGACTGACCACCGAGCGACGACCAAATAGAAGGACCGCAATCCTCAGTCAGTCAGCCGTTTTATACTGTCTAAGGCTAAAAGCTGTTTATGTGGCCTGTTGGTCATTTTTTAAACCAGACTAAATGAAGATCTTTAGGCTACTGAACAGTAGTCTTTTGTCGTTTTCCAGCCTGTTACATTTAGTTTTGTCGAGTCTCTAGACCAGTGTTGCATAAAGTGGACTCTACCGCCCCCTGAAGGGGTGCTGGGTCGGTCCAGGGGGCGGTAACTGCCTCGTCACCTTTTTTGTTTCGGGGATTGGTGCGTTGAAACAGACTAGGGAAATAGGCAATAACAACCCTAAGTAAAAATAAGGCAAACAGTTACGCAGAAGTCCTACAAAGACTCGAAAAAATGAAACTAAACACACACTCCGCAGCAACGACAAGAACAATACTACTTGATGGAACCTAATATGGAGCCAGTATTTGAGAAAAAAAAAAATTCAAGTCTACACTGATTGACTGATTGGCACCTTTCCCTCTTTCCAGACGATAGTTTTAAGTTGCGCTATGAGGGGCTATGGGACTCACAGCCCATGGCGATGGCGAGGTGACTAGCAAGACCCGCCCGTGTCAAGAAAAGTTGTCCACAATGAAAGCATAAGATTTCAGGAACATTGTTGTCAACATTTGTGTTTAATTCGTTTCTTTTCAGACGCTCACCTCTCATCCGTTCTCTCTTCCTTCACTCATTCCTTTCCTGATATGCCTCTTCCACACCACACTGTCTATGGCATCCCCCCCCTTTTTTCAAATGAGCCCACCTCAATACCTGTATCATTTATGTCCTACTTGCACACATTTTTATACCGTAGTAGAGGTCAGCCCCGACATCTTCTGCCAGCCTTTAATTTTAAATAAAGAATATCCTTAGGGACTCTGCCATCCTCCATTCTCCAGGTGTGACCCAGCCACCTGAGCCTTCGTAGACGGAGCATGGAAAAGACTGCTATAGTACCTGCTCTTTCCAATACCTCAGTGTTTGTGATTTTGTCCTCCCACTTAATGCCACTTCTTAGGCATCGCATGTAAAAGCTATTTAGCCGTCTCTCCTGGTGCAAATAGGTTGACCAATTTGTACTGCCATAAAGCAGGGTGCTGACAACACACTACTGATACACAAGGGTTTTTCTTTTAATTGTGAGCTTTATGTTCTCCAAAAATCTCTTTGTCAATCTGCTCATTGTTGTTGCTGCCTTACCTATCCTGAAGTTGATTTCTTGGTCCAGCAGTAGTTCAAGTCTACACTGGAGCAGTAAGATACATAATATGCATGCCGCTCATGAGCCACAACGACATTGTAAAGTCCCAGCCATTTAGCAAAAGAAACATACACACAAGATACGCATACAGAACCGACATGATGATATGTGAAATTCTCACTTACACCTGAACCACTGCCGTTCTTTTGTCCAGATCTATCTACTACACTTCTGAAAGACCCAGGAAAAATCTCCAACAAAAGAAAGAACCGAGTCAGCGTAACTAATTTAGTCACGTCTTAGGCTTCGGAATGAGGCGCTCTTTTTTTGTGGACACGTGTTGACAGATTGTTTTTTCTAACGACCGTACCCAGTGAAAGGTACTGGAATCTTCGTCACATACACTAATGGCAACACAGAGACACACCAGACAGTGCCGCTGCAGTAGCGGCAATAATCTTCCTTTGAGGTTTACACACTTATACAAGCAGAACAAAAAAAAAATATTCAAAGAAATGTCCATTAGAACTGTACTTGCCCTGCAATAAACTATTAAAAGCCCGTTTAACGTCAACTTGGCGCAATCGTGACCTTTCATGTTTTTTACCCTTTCTTCATTCTGTCGTACCTTTGCTGAAATTATTCTTTCCTTTCTTCATTCGTGCGTTAGTCCTGCCACAGCTACATCTTTCCCTCATTCTTTCCTTTCTTTATAATCATCATTACCACCAGCACCACAAACCCCATTACCATTACTATCTGTATCATCGTCAGCGTCATTATCGTCATAATTATCATCACGAAAATTATCATTGCCGTCGTCGTAACCACCTAAACTCTAAAAACTGCTACTGCCAATATATCCACCATCATCAGAACTGTCAAGGTAATTCTAATGACTACCACACTTACCACTGCCACCAACATCACAACTATCATTTTCGTCCCTTCGTCACCTGCTACAACTAAAAACTTCAATAACAGCACCATGTTAATTACCACTAGAGCCACCACAACTACCAGCATCCTCATTTTAATGACTACTACAATCACCACTGCCACTAACACCACAGCTGCCATCATCATCAACATCACATAATCACCTTCATCAAAAAAACATCATCATCATCACCTTTACTGTGTGACCCAGTGACGACATGAGCAACGTTACCTGTCAACGGCGATCACGACAAGGACCAGGTCGGCACAGCCGGTGTTCCAGATGGAGAAGAAAGCCGTGAAGACACAAATGGCGTCGTAGAGGTGGCTGCTGGGGTTCAGGAGCATATAGAAGAAGAGCGTCTTGGTGACGACAATAACGCTAAGGTCGAGAAAAGCCAAGGTCTGAGGACAGAAGGCGTTAAATATTACCCAAGCACACTACATCATTATCAGCTTCATCGTCGTCGTCATCAACGTCATTATGTAATCTACACAGTGTGGACTACTTGAACGTGTGGACTACTTGAAGGTGTGGACTATTTCAAGGTGTGGACTACTTCAAGGTGTGGACTATTTCAAGGTGTGGACTACTTCAGTGTGAGGACTACTTCAAGGTGTGGACTACTTCAAGGTGTGGACTACTTCAAGGTGTGGACTACTTCAAGGTGTGGGCTACTTCAAGGTGTGGACTACTTCAAGGTGTAGACTACTTCAAGGTGTGGGCTATTTCAATGTGTGGGCTACTTCAAGGTGTGGACTACTTCAGTGTGTGGACTACCTCAAGGTGTGGACTACTTCAAGGTGTGGACTACTTCAAGGTGTGGACTACTTCAAGCTGTGGACTACTTCAAGGTGTGGACTACTTCAGTGTGTGGACTACCTCAAGGTGTGGACTACTTCAAGGTGTGGACTACTTCAAGGTGTGGACTACTTCAAGGTGTGGGCTACTTCAAGGTGTGGACTACTTCAAGGTGTAGACTACCTCAAGGTGTGGACTACTTCAAGGTGTGGGCTACTTCAAGGTGTGGACTACTTCAAGGTGTGGACTACTTCAAGGTGTGGGCTATTTCAATGTGTGGACTACCTCAAGGTGTGGACTACTTTAAGGTGTGGGCTACTTCAAGGTTTGGACTACTTCAAGGTGTGGACTACTTCAAGGTGTAGACTACCTCAAGGTGTGGACTACTTCAAGGTGTGGACTACTTCAATGTGTGGACTACTTAAAGGTGTGGACTACTTCAAAGTGTGGACTACTTGAAGGTGTGGACTACTTCAATGTGTGGACTACTTCAAGGTGTGGACTACTTGAAGGTGTGGACTACTTCAATGTGTAGACTACCTCAAGGTGTGGACTACTTCAAGGTGTTGACTACTTGAAGGTGTGGACTACAT